TATATTCAAAAAGATTACTAATTCTTAAGTTCAGTATTTCTAGAGTGCATTTCGTCAATTGGATTTGCATTGTATGAATTTACTAATCAGTTTATCTGCTTTCCTGTTAGGTTACCTGTTATCGCTGTATTTTATTACTATTTTCACAATTTTGTTTTATTCGTTTTTTTTCCTGCTAAAATATTTTTATAGTTCAAATTTATTTTTAGTAGTTTAGCAGCTGCAAATATAGCAGATTTGATATTACTTTAATCAGAATAATAATAATAATATATAACGAATAAATTAAATTATGTTAAAATAATATAGATTAGGATGAATCGAAAATAATAATTGACGAATAAAAATATCGTCGAGAAAAAATATTTAAATTCGATTTTCTCTGAATCATTGCCTAAATTTAGCAGAATATTGCGATTTAACACTAAATTACCCTATGACCTAACATATTTAGGACAAAATAATTTTGTAGATATAATCTTATTATCTGAAATCGATTTTTTAAAGACATGTCCTACAGACCATACAGAAGTCGTCGTTTTGAATGTTTAATTAATTAATTATTTAATTACAGTTTTAATTTCTAATTTTAAATAATATTAAGAATACATCGGGATGTTTATAATAACGTTTAAATAAAAACTTTATATTAAAAATACATTTTTAAAAATGTATCAATATTTACATCTATAGAATTAATATTCCAATAATAATACAGAATATGTTTGTTTATAATATTCGGTAATACATACACGTACCGTACCTGTACATTACCTAAAATTTTATCGAATTTAATACGCGATTCAAGCGTGCTTTTTTATTCAGTAAAGTTTCTAATAAAATGTTATCGAAAAAAATATTTTATTCGGCATTTATTTAGACAGTTTTTGGAAATTAAAAAATATATATATTAAGTAATAACAATATTTAAATGATATGAATAAGTGCAGGCAAATAAAAAATTTACTAAATATTTCTTTAGATAAACAAATTATGATTATATAAAGCTTATATAATGTTATTTTATTCGAAATCCAACATACAGAAATACGATGATATATTTAATTCATATCCACAACGTTGCATTAGTTTGCATTTTAATTTAATATTTTGTTAGTTTTTTATTATTATTATTTTTCGAAAATAAAAAAATTACCAAAATACTATTTATTTTTAAGGTTATATAAGTGTAAAGCTCAGAAACAGTGATTGAAAATGTATTTTCAAATTAAGAAAAGTGCATTTATTCCTTTTTAAAATAGTCTTTTCATCCATTTTTAGATAAATCTTGATGGTTTTTAAATATTAAAAAGGAGAGAATTTTTTAAATTAACTTCACTTGAATATTTAATATTTTTATAATGGTAGTATAGTAATAGACTAAACAAACAGGATCTTGAATCTAAAGAGCCAATGAATCGTTATCGAACGATTATCATATTTTGTTGTGTAGGTGGAAATAAATATTTTAGAATGTTGTCATACAACTCTGCCTACCGTCAAAATAACTCTTTATGGGCTGTCTTCACATCTAGTTAATATTATTATTAAATTAATTTGCCATTGTTTTAAAATAAAACTATAAATTACTAATAAGATTCTTTTAGAAAAGTTTATTCAATTTTTTAAAATATATTAAACTTTTTCAAAACAACATAATTGTTTTTAAATTATTTTTAATTGAAGATAAATTAATAATTACGTATTAGTTTGTATTTTATTTTTAAAATAATGGAAAAAAATGTATTGATTAAAGAATCGAGATATAAATACTGTATTTGATATGCTGTTGAATTGGGTAGTGTTTGCAGATAGTATTTATAATGAATTGTGATAATTGTATTATATCAATTAAATTCGCAATTATGATAGCACTCGACGTACACGCGACAATCCCAAAAATATCCAGAGTAAAACATCCGTTTGTGGTGTCGAGACGTGACGTCATAACATTCTAGTATCGGCGCCTTATTCCTGGTCGTCGGACAAATTTCTTCTTTGCTATCGTTCTATTTAGTAAACCCATTAAACTTTGTAATCTCCCCTTTTTTTAAATAAAAATTTTTAATAATATTTATGGATATACTCGACTGTCCACATAACTATATAAGGATAATGGAGCGTCGTTAATCAATGTAGTGTAAAGTGCTACTGATGTAATTATAGAAGTGTTGGAAACGAACCGGAAAGAAAGGTCGAGTTTTGGAGGTTCTGAGCAATTGCTTAACAGTGGTTAAGTCTAGTGGAACAGGTGGTCACCGACAAAATTTTGGGTGTGGGCGGTCTTTCGTAGGTAGCACTAACGTCACCTCCTCAGTGTCTGCACCCACTCTGGCACTTTTTAATATTCGTCCTCCTTAACTATTACAAATTTCCACAGACTGTTGACGGGTCGTGTCCGGTGACGTGTTGCAGGTGCTCAGATACTTCCCATCCATCGGAGCAGTAAAGGGGAATTGCCGACTCGTTCGTCCAGCTTCTTATACGTAGGCGGTATTTTTTCCCCTGCGTTACTTGTTTTGATTTCCCTGAGGGATTTATCAGTCTCACTATTTTACCATACATCGATTCGTATATCAATTGTTTAAGTAGAGAAAAGCGATACAATAGATAGCGAAGGTTGGATAAAAATAATTTCAATAGATGTATACAATTTCTGTTTTTGTTCTTTATTTCGATTAGAACGTACAGTACATTTGCATATATATAAATATATAATAAAGCAGCAAATTACCAGTCTGTTAAATTTATAAGTTTAAAAGTGATAATTAATAATTTAGCCGAAGAAAGGCATATAACTTAAGTACATCCATTTTTCCTGAAAGAAAATAATCGTCAAGGTCGAAGCTTACCTAACAGGTTCGTGTCGTCGTGGAAGGTATTAAGAAGAGATATACAAGCTCGAAATTCTATACGTGAACGTTTCATGCTAATGACTGAAGTAGCTTCGTGTCTAGTATTATCTACTGCCCTTCGCTGAGGTTATTTGCCCGACCCTAAAGGACGGTAAACAGGTGTTTCTAAGTAGTTCGCGATGATTTAATTTCTTGTTAAAAAGTAAGTTTTGTGAAAAACTTTAAAAGTGTATTCACAACCTATAACGTACAATGACATTGCGACTTCGTGAAGCATGAATGCACACCTTTTTATTAGACCAGATGGCTTTGAGTCTTGTCTCTATTGTAGGGGTAGTCCCCACCCACATGGCCGTGTAGGTTGCCCCATATCTCGGGCGTCATTTACAACGAGGTCGCTCGCTACTCATACATCTAAGATGGAATTGTAATTAGATTTCTGTTTGACTTGACTATTTCCACGTAAATGGTTCACTTAAGTAAATCGTTGTTTCTAGTGAGAGAACGAAGTGGTCAGGATTTATTTCTGGTGAGTAACGAGATAAATACCCCTTTAATATTCGGTTTCTTTTACCATGTGGTTTTCGTTTGACGGTGGTACGTGTGTGTAGGTAGACCTAGTTTTGTAAGAACGGTGTTGTTGCTGTTCTGTGATGAATGGCGACTCTTCATTTAAATCTTTCAAATCTGCCGTTTAACAAGATTGTCTCGCATTCGTGACTACATTAATTCAATATTTACAGTACTGAATAAATTTGCCTTTCTGTTTTTTTATAGAATAAATTAAATTTAACACGTTTTAATTAAGATTGTGCATTTTATTATTTAATTCGTAAATTTCAATCGTATGAATAAGTATACGCTCAAAAAATTAATGTAACATTTATTTAAGGTAGAAATACTGTATAATAAAATGAACTTTTAAAAATAAAAACGAATGTATTATAAAAACGAAATTTACATGTGCTTTTTAAAGGATTATTATACATTAATATTTGAGTGTTTAGATTCTTTTTAATTTAAATTTGATTGTTTCTAATGGAGAATTCAAAGGATTGTTTTTATATGTAGAAAATTGTTTAACAGTATTGGAAAATGGCCAAATACTTTAGTCTAGCTAATAAATTTTTATTACTTCGTTGAAGAATGTTAAAGCATAAATGCCTATCACATCTACATCCCTTTAAACATTGCATTAATCTAGCTAACTTTCAAAATATAAATAATGGTTCATTAAAACATTTTCAGATAAAGATGTGTATGTTTAAATATATTCGTTTTTTGGAAATTTTCTACATGGATTTATTTTAAGTTAAAAAAAAACTACTTTTATTTCTGTTGCAAAAAGTATATTTATTATGACTTAAATATATTCTAACGCTTTAAAAATAAACAATTGATGCTATTTGTTTTAAATGTAGGCTAAATAAAGAAAAAAAGAAGTACCTTGTTTTTCTTGTCTTTGAGCTAATAACCTATAAGTTATAAATGAAGATACAGAATGCTCTTAATAAACAAGCTTTTTTTTACTTTATTATATAAGGAAATATTTAAATATTTTAAAAATAATTTTATATTATATACACTATTTTAACTTTCAGTCTGATAAATGTATAATTATACAACTATATATTTGAATGTAAAAAATATTAAATTAGAATAAAAAACTAATAATATAATTATAAATATTAAATATATAATGCATAAAAAAGATTATTTTATTTATTTATGTTAAGTAAATTAAGTTGATTCTCTTACAGTAGTAATATATTTTTAGCAATGCCTGAGTTATTTAAAACTTTTCATGCGTATTTATAACTTAATATAAGTATTTTTAATAAAGTTAATCTGTCTTTAAATTTAAATAAATATATTCTGAAGGAAGAAAGGAAATAACATTGAGATTTAATAAGAATGATATGATGATAGCTATTTGATAAGTGATTATGTATATAAATAAAAAAATTGATTTAAGAGAATTAATTTGAGAAAATTGCATGTTTAAAATGTAATATTAATATCAGATTTATAACATGGAGCATTTTATTAAACTTTACTGATAATAGAAATTTTAAATAGCAAGTTAATTACTTTATTTATTTTTAAATAAGAACTTCATAATTAATTGACAATTTTTTTTTTAAGGCTAAACAACGAGCTTCAATATTATGGCTGGTTTCAAAGGCATATAATCATAGGATTCCAAGTGATCTCAGGGAACCTTGCTATAGGGATCATGAGGTATTATTATTTTTAATTGTTAGGATTTAAATAATTAAAGTTTTATCTCTCCTTCAAGTGTTTTATATTAATATTTTAAATATTATTTAAATCAGTTTATAAAATAAGCTTTAATGCAATTATATTTGGGATTTGAAGCCTATATAATTTTATATTGTATTATTGATATTAGATTAATTAAATTACAGTGGGTTTTCAAATTATATGTTTAAAACATGCAATTTTAAAATAATGTAATAGAAAAATCAGTACACTACTGTAAAAAGTACACTCTCACTTTAAAATTGTGTGTAGCATAATTATGATTTTTGGCCATTAATGGTAATGCTTACATCTGTCATTTTGTTTGGATGACTCTGACTGTAGAAAATTCATTACAATGATTACTTTGAAGAATAGTTATTCTTCAGTTATTCTCTTGATGTACTTCAAGGAACATCCAGGTATCCACTGACAAGTCAACACAAAACTTTCCTTGACAAACTTTTATTTGAATATAACTTATACACAACAATATTTCTATTTATGAAATAAAACTTTTAAACATACAACTGTTGAACTAAAGCTAAATTAAGTTTAAAGATTCTCTCTTATTATAATTTCCAACTATAAACAACTTAGTATAGTTCCTTCTATAAATGTAAACAACTTTACTAAATCTGGGATGAGATGGCGCCTAACACCTCCCTCTAGGACCAAATTTATTTGTAATTTATTAGTTCTTTCTTCCTACATGCACACAGAACATGTTTACTATTAGTTTAAATGATAAAATTTTGTTTATACAGCAGAGTCCCACTAGTCTGAACACTGCTAATCCAAATGTCCGCCTAATTCGAACATGTTTTAGTCGGCGAAGAGAAAATTTTTCTCTAACAGCAGGTCCACTTAGGGATATTCCCCTTTCTCTTTCCTGAGTGAACCATGTGAATATGGCTTTATCAAGCTTGTCAAATGTTGAGGGCCTTGCTGTTGTCAATTTGCAACTGATTTTTCTGAAGTAGAAACACAAAAGTGCTCGATCTTTGCCCGATTTTTTTTTCCAGTTGGTTATTGTGGCCTTGCCAAACTCTACTGCTAATTTCATTTCACTTTTACCCTTGTCCAGGGTGGAGTGCTGACGTCATTGATAGTGTTTGATCTATATAAACCAGACCTGTTTTACTGCTTATTTCTGCATTATTTCAATTATTTAGCTAATCCGAACTGGGCTTGATCCCAATTAGTTTGGACTAGTGGGACTCTACTGTATATGAGAATTAAAATGTATATGACTTATTTTAGAATGGCATCTTAAACTTTGGTGTTTCATGAAGCAATTTAAGCATCAATATACATGACTTATTTTAGAATGCAAATTCTTATGTAATCTGAGAACCTACTATAAGTTTAAATTTGTTTTATTTCAGAGGTAAAATGTTTTAGCAGTTAATAAGAAAATGTTGAATTCTGAAAACATTCTGAATTTCTGAATATCAAATTCTGAAAACATTTCTTTAATTAAACTAATTTAAAGAAATGTTTTCAGAAATTGATAATCATGTTATCATTGTCTAATTTTATCAGTATTAATATTTTATAAATAGATTGGAATAAAAGATATGTAAAATTTAAATTTGTTATTAGGAACAGATATTTTGTTAGAATTTTGTAAAATTTACAAATATTATCTGAATACATTTGTAAATTTTTGCACTTTTGTTTACTATATATGTTTTTTAATTAGCTTTTACATATAATTTTTAAAATCTTTTAGCTTCTTAATTTTTGTTAAGTTTTTATTCTTATTTTATTTTCAATTTAAATTAAGTTTTAATTTTAAAATTTGTGAAAGTTTTTGTTAACTAAAATTATTTGAATTATGAAAATAGCTCAAAGTTTTAAAATAATAACAATCAATCTGTTTCACTGAAATCCACTTATTCAATTTAAGTGAACCATAAAGTAAATTAATGTTGTTTAAAATATTTGTTATAAAAATTTTAATTTCAAATTTCATTGTAATTTGTTCAGAATAATATTTTAATGGTTTAATTTTATCAGTGTTAATAAGCTAACAATCAAAAAAATTTTTTAAAATAAACTTTATTTGCTATCTTAATGTAGCAGTTTTTTTTATAAATCAAAGATGATGATAAGTTGGGAAACTTAGCATCATCTTTGACAGAAAACAATCTGATTGATTTATCATCACAATCTCAGATGATAAATAAGCAAGATTGAAAAATTTTAAATATAACGTAAATATTTAATTCTGCAAAGTATTATAGAGTCATTGATCAAAGTGAATCTATATTTAAAAGATAGAATTGATACAAATTATTGACATATATATTTATTATGAATTAGAGAAAAAGTATTTTTCAGTGACGTTTTTGCTATAGAATTTTATAAACTAATAATTTATTTCCCCCAAAAAAGAGAGAGAGAGAGGTTTAAAACTGAAAATGATATATAGAATAAAAATATTACTTGGAAATGAAATTGAGGATAACCGAAAAAGATATTTTAAAGTGTATTTAGGTTGTATGCATACATTATTGTAACATGCCTAAGAGTATTATTTAAGATATTTATGAAATATGTTAAGATTTTTTTTTTGAGAGAGAGAATTTTGATAAATTATACAGTAATAAATTATTTGAAAATGTATTGAACTTTTTTATACAAATGCTAAATGTAAAATTTATTTCAAAATTTATCAAACAATTCTACACTACAATATTCTAATATAACAAAAGAAATTAATTTAAAATCTACTTAGGAAAGGATAATATATTTTTATAAAAAAATTTCTATGCTTATCTGTAATGATTTAATTATTAAATTGTTACATTTATTATGTAAATTAAAATGTAGTGAATGAAAACAGATGCAATTATTCTAATTATCAAACTCTTTTTAAATAAATACATAATTAATTGATAACATATAATTAACTTTGTTGTTATGCTAATTTAATTTTTAATTAGGAAAACAAAGTAAATTTACTTCAAAGAAAAATATTTTAAAATTTGTAATTAGTCTTTAAGATAAATAATTTAATAATTAAAAGTTTGATAAATGACTATAGTACTAGCTTAAGTCGTAAACAAAACAAATGCACAAACCTGTTTAGTGCATACAAGTTGAGTAATGCCAATGTACTTTGCTTTAAAATAATAGGAAATTCCTGTTAAAAACTATCAAATAATCATGTTTTAAAATGGTAATTTATATTATTTATTACTATACTATTATTTATCCAAAGTATGAAAATTTTTAAATTATCATAAAATATATATTGAATAATAATGTTTTTATTTTAAGATGTTTCTGCTAATAGTAGATTATATATATATACATGTCAGAAATTCTTCATCTAAAGGATCTAAATATGAGGAAAAATAAAATATAAATATTTTAGAAAGTTTATTCACCCGAAAACATCTCTTAAATGATAAAAGCTATAAAAATCAATGTTTTGAATGGGCAGTACTGATTCCATAGCTTCATGGATTGATTCTAAATTGAAATCTGCTTCTATCAGAATTTTACTTGACATTATTAATAATTAACTTTTAGTAGTATCTAATTACAAGCATTTATTAATTTCACTGTTGTGTATCATAATTACAAGATTTTTCTTTTCTCTATTTATAATTTTCTCAGAAAAATTGTGGTGTTCAATATTTCAAAAAATTAAGTTGAGTGATATTTGTTCAAATTATCAAATGAATATAAACTACAAAGTCAATATTCCTAGTTACCTAAATAATATGTTTTATTTCTACTTTAAATATAACTATTGATTTGCGTAAACACTATTACTTTAACTAAAATTTTATTTACTTGAGAGAAGCGAAACTTTATCTCAAAAAGCTCAATATCTCATTAAATGACTAAAAAATTAATTTTTGAAATACTTAGAAATTTTTTTTGTGAACAAAGTTTTTAAGATAACTATAAAGCCAATCAGTTTATAGGTATTTGTGCACTTAAATTATAGAATTACATCATCTTTATATTGAAAGTTTGTGCTTAAATTATTTTGAAATAACAAGTTTTAATAAAATTGAAACTAAATATTCAGATGGATCACACCACATACTATAAGATAAAAGATTAGTGTCATTATATTACTTTTAATCAACTAAAGGTTAAAATTTTTATCCACTTTTTTAGGTTCAAATTTTATTGTTTATTTTTAATTGTAAGGTAAGATTTTAAACATTTATCAAGAAAGATAGATGTTTAAAATCAGTTAAATTTTTTTTTCGAGGGGGCAAATATATAGCTGCATGTTTTAGAATGTTACATTTATTTTAGTACTGTAGATTGAAGTAAAAGAATATTTAATTTAAATTTGCTGTACTTGTCTATATAAAAGCAATGTAAAGTTTTATAAATATAAATATAGTCAGATTCCTTTATTGTGTTATCAATTTATGTGAAGTCTGCATTAATGCAAAGTACATTTGTGGTCTTGTGGATGAGGCTAGACATTTCAATGTTAATAAGTTTAGTTATTACAAAATATCAGTTAATATACAATATGAAGCATGTCACAGTCTTGCAAATTCAGTAACAATTATCTTTCATGGTTTAATACAAAGCATACTGCTTCCATCTTCCCTGAAGTCACATGAGCGAAAGTGGCAATGCATAACTTGCATCATGATCAAAGGCATTTTTTTTTTACTTTAATTTTGGCCACAGTGCCTATGACATCATTATTATCACTGTTGTTGGTGGTGAGGTATACACCATACCAATGACATTTACTCCTTGAAAAATTACATTATCTCTTATTGTTGGCACTGAACAATTATTTAAGACAGTCCTTGTGCACATTGGAAACCTGAACTTAATAAAATTGGGGAATTTTGATTAAAAATATGTCATTTTACAAAATAGTTCTTATTTTTAATTGTTTTAAAAACAGAATAACTGAATTATAATATTGAATACAGGCAATAGTTTGCAATTTTAAAATTAAAAACAGTTTCTATTGAAATCCAAGCAGATAAGTTATTTTTAAATTATTAGTTTTTCATATCAGCTCCCAAATTCAATTTTGTGGCTAGATCAACCTGTTAGTAGCTTTAACTGTCATTCTACCAACTCTAACTATTGTATCTCAATAAAGTGTATGTTTGGAGTAGATGACAAGTTTGTTTATTTATTTATTTTTAAACATATCTAAACATGATAAAACAGTAAAATAATTGAAAGAAAATTTGACTTTTGCCATTTGATGGTATGACCATTGATGTTTTTTGTAAAGTTTACTTAATACAAAGTGCAGATTTTTTAGGTCCTTTCAACTTTGTATTAATGGGGTTTAACTTTATATATTTGTGAATTTAAAAATATACTGTATATATTATAATAAAAATAAAAAAATCATTTCAGAATTTTTATGAAACTGAATTCATGTACTATACATAGTTACAATATAAGTTGTCATAAAACAGCAACCTTGTAAACCAGCAAAAAATTTTACTCAACTATTACTTGTGATTCAAATACAGATTATTGTCAGGTCTAATCTTTAACACAAATAGATAATAAATTTAATTGTCTTTGGAACCACTACCTGATGATCTATATTTTGATTGAAAATTTAATCAAGTAATTTTTTTATTAGTTTGGATTTTTATTATGTCTCTATTCTCTATTAATCAATTTAACATGTTACAATATAAGTTTATATTAGTTTTTTAGACTCAATATTTAAAATTTATATTAAAAGTTCATATTAAATTTTTAGACTCAATATAAAAACATTAGTAAAAAATATTACAATAAAAAAATTATGAAACTAGCTAACTTTGTTTTGGTAATTGTAATAGATATAAATAATGAAAATTTAACTATTTTTCTTTTAATAATTCTGTATTAGAGTGAATTACAGTAAGTTAATTAGTGATAAAATTTCTAAAAAAATTCTTAAGTTATCCTATCTCATTCAGAAATTAAATATAGATGCTTCTTTTATATTCTTTCAAATCTTTTTTTTTCTATTGTAAGTTTAATATATTTTTGATTATATTCTGTTGTTTACTTATTGTAATATGTAAAGGAAAACTACAGTATATAGATTATTATATTACTGCTAGCCTAAACAACTGGCATCATCTGAGAACTGTAATGAAAGATGCTGTAATTGTGTAAAATTTCATTATGGCTACAGTGCTACAGATATATAATATACAATGCATGTAAGTTTTCGGTCTAATTCATAGACCTTCTTCAGGATTGATGTAAAAAATTTTAAAAATTTGAACTTTCCCAACGGTAATTCGAACAACGCACGTTCTATAATCTTCAGATATTCGATCGCGCATGTCCATTAGCTCTTTATAATGCCGCCGCTCTCCATGCCGATGCTATTCTACTTGACTCTCGAAAATTTATATTTAGCCCCTTTTTTCTGTATTTATAAATGTGCCATGCCTCTGCATACTTTAGATGTCGTATATTANATACATTTTATTATATTTATTTCAGAATTTCTTGTATATTTCATTTTTACTTATGGTATCTATCATTCATAAAGTGATGAAGGTTTTAACAGGGTTGAGTTTTGTTGGATGTCCTAAGAGGGGAGGGGATTATGAAAACTGGACAAACTGGGACAAGTGGAGGAGTAAAAATTTCAAGAAAAAGTGGACATTAATATGGACAGCTTCTAACATAGGAAATCTCATTGAATAGTTACAGCCTACATGAAGGGTTGTCCATAAAAGTTTAAAGTATACATATATATACAATATAACCAAACTAAATTATTGATTAAACAGCTTAAACTTTCAGATTATTTTTGTGGCTAAATATCTAGACTCTTGAACAGGATTGAAATTCAAATCTCATTCTGGTTTGATTTGTTTTTCTTCCAGAATTATCTATATTAATTAAATTCAAAATTAATTTTTAATTATTAATTCATTATTTAATTTAAATTTAATTAATTTTATAATACTCTAACTACTCAGTTCTTTTTTTTTTTTTTTAAGACTTTTTGAGTTAGACATTTTTTAAGTTTGATAAATTCATTTCTAAAGCTGACCTCTGGAGGCCAGCAGCAGAATTATTGTGGACAAAACTAAAGTGATACTTCTGGTATGGTATGGAAAATATAGTTTGTCATATTTTTACTTAATTTTTTTTTTCTTTAATTATTTGGCTTATTGGTAATTTTATAACTTTTTTTTGAACTGAGTAGATCAATTCTAATCAATAGAATCGATTCCTTTAATTCTATTGAAGGAACTATTCTAATTTCATCAGTGATCCAAGAAATCTAAGACACTTCTTATTGTGAAAGCTACATTAAAGAACCTTGAGCAAGTGATGTTTATAAATATATAGTAGATTAAAATTCATATTAATATCTTCATATATATATAAAGAGAGAGAGAGAAAATTCTTCCACTGAAATCCTGACAGAGATCTTTATTATTATTTATATTCTAGGCATATTATTTAAATAGAATGTGATATCAATCAATACTGTGTTTAAAATATAAGTTCCTACATATATCAAGTTTACTACAGTAGAGCATCGATTATCCGACCCCCAATTAACCATCACATCAGTTAACCGACTGTTCTAGTTGGCAAATTTCAAATGTCCGCTAGTGATGTGGCGCTACAATATTTGGCTATGTCTTGGCTACTTTAATATTATTGTTGTTAAATTTTTGTGTTTTAGCTGGCAACACTGGCTCGACCATGAAAGAGAGGCCAGTATTGTATTTAAACGAGACTTAATTTTCTAATTATGAGTGGTTGTTTGTTTTGTGAGCAATAAAATAATTTAAAAATAATTTTTAACGACACAATAGCGACGATTATTATTTAAAAAAATTTGTTAGGCTTGATAGGTGAAAATTCAACGTGAAGTTGGATAATTAATTAATTAATTAATAGCGATATACTAATTACATGGGATATACTAATATACTATACTAATAATGTAGTTTTTTTTTCATTCTTTTCGGTAATCTGATTTTTTCAGTTATCTGATCAACCTGAGTCCCCAATTGAGTCGGATAATCGATACTCTACTGTATATGGAAATGTTTTTTTTTTATATATAATGATTTTTATTTGATATTTAAGAAATTAAAACTGTATTATTTTATTAAATATATATTTAATTTAAATTTAAATCTGATTTTAATTTTAAAATGTATACATTTTTAAATTTCAGGGTGAAGAAAGATTGAAACCACAAATTATTCATTCCTTAGCTAATGCTGAACTTTATTGTTTAGCACTTGCTAATATTTATGCTGATCCCAACTATCATAATCTCAACCACATCGGTATAATTCAGTTATTAATGAGAAAGGGTGTAGATGTTCTTGAACCACCAGATGCATCTCTCACTGAAACTGTTCTTGTACAGACTGCACCTATTAAAATGGTATAAAAACTATAAATATATTTATAATTAAATTATTTAAAATATAACTCCTTATTACTGTAATTATAAAATTTGTGGTAGTATATACACAGTGGTATCTTGTACTTTGAATGCTTCAAAGTTCAAACTGTACATGTAGTGAAAAAATGCACTTGAAGCGTAAATGCAGTCTGTTTTGTGCCCATTTCATCTCTCACTCTTGCATTATGCTTGCATATTTTCAGTGCTTTTTTTGCTTTATTTTTGGTTTGTTTGGTTATATATACTGTATTGTGTGTTGTTCATCTATTCTTCTTGCAATTTTTCTTTATTGACAGCTTTTGGTTGCCCTGTACATTTTGTATTAATTAGTTCAAAACCTCTCAAACAGAACTTTTTAAGCACATTTGACATTTTCAAAGTTTAGGAGCTTCTTTCCCATACACATTATAATTTTATTTATTTATTTATTTATTTTTTACTGTTTGTATGGCATTATATCCTTTCTGAAACTCATAAAGCATATATCTCTGATTTGCTTTTTATCTGAAGACATTACTTGATTTTATTCAAACAAAATGTGAAGTAAAGAGTTTAAAGTAAGCTTACAAACAAAGAATATACTCTTACATTATCTATAATATGTTATATTTCAAAATTGTTATAATTAAATCACACATTTGTGTTAAGATGCAGAAGTCTTATTATGTGACAAATAAATACAATATTGCAATTTTCATTTTATTATACAGTATTTACATATTTTATTTATGGTTTTTGTGTTTTAATTTATTATTAGGGCATTTAATTGTTAGTATTTGATTGTTTGCTGTTCTCTCAATTAGTTCTATGTTCTTTGGAACTTAGCATAAAGTTGAGAACAAATCATAGAGAACACTCCTTTTGATAGGAAAAGTAGATTTATTTTCTATAATTTATAATGGATATGCATTTTGGGTTCTATGCTCCTCCACAATTTTTATTTTATTATGTATATTGGTAAAATTATATAAGAAATTACAGAATGTATTTAATAATTATTTATATTTAGCATATGCATAACTCACAAAATTAACAAAAAATTATCTAAAAATAATTATAGTGACAACTGGAATAACTAATTATGAAAATCGTTTGATAGAACAAGTAAAACTGAAATAAATTTTAAAAATATGTAAATAAATAAATGTAATAAAATGTTAAAAAGTAATAAAAGGGTAACCTGTAAAAATAAAAATATTTTGATTAAAATGTGTAAGAAATTGACTAATAAAGGTAGTAAAAACATAAAACCCCTAAAATCAATAAAAAGTGGTTAGAAACAAGGTGTAAAGGCTTTCACTGTATGTTTATCAGGGAATCTGTTACTTTATACGATACAACAGATTAAAAGAGGGAGGGGAAGGCCATCTTAAAATGGACTCTTCTTATTTTGGTAGTAATGGTTGCCAGATCTCACTGATGACAATGCCAGTGTTTAAATTTATTCTATTAATTTTGTTTAATAATTTCAATGTGTTCAAAAAATTTTCTTTTAGTAATATTTTTTTCTGTTTTAAGAATTTTGATGCTGTCGAGTGAGATCTCATAATATTTCATTACATTTATTTATTTACATATTTTAAAAATTTATTTCAGTTTTACTTGTTCTGTCAAACAGTTTTAATAATTAGTTATTCAGTTGTCACTATAATTATTTTTAGATAATTATTATTTTTTTTTATAGCTGAAAATATTTGTATTATAATAAAATATCTGCTGAATCAAATGTGGTTAATATAATTCAATTAATAGTAGTAAAATATCTAGATCATTCATCCATTCAAAATATTTGTTAAGTTTTTTATCTATTAAATTAATAAGATTATTGTTAATGAGATGATAATAAAATATATAATCATACTAAGAATAAATGATATTTTCTCTATCTTGTTTAATTTTTAGTAAATAAATAAGTATAATAATAATAATAACATGAATTTTATATTAATATAATCATTTTTAATGTTTAAAATTTTAGAGTGCACATATGGCAGTTATTGAAAGTATAATGGCATTGTATATAAAAGAAGTTTTAATACCCGAGAAAGTAATGGAAGTAATTAGGTAAATATTTATTTTATTCAGTTAATAATATGTATAATAAAACCAAACATTCAAACAACAAATTGGAAGATTTGTCATTAATGTAAAATTTTAAGAAGACTAACACCTTAAATATAATTATAGCATGATTACAACTGAAAAAATGTAATTTTTGCTCTGTAATTAAAATCAGAATTATTGTCCTAAGCATATTTTTACTTTTCAAATGCTATGTGAAAAAGTCTAAGAATTCTGAATATGCATGTTTATTTCAATTATGCTTAACTATGCACTTTCTATATTTATAAAGATGGATAAAAAATATTTTTAGCATGCATTTTTAAATTTTAATAACTTATTATTTGTATAAATTAACATCAAATATTTTAAAAAATGAAATGACCAAAAAATAATTAGGAAATTTCATTATTAAAGATTTAATTTAACTAGCAGATTTAATTGCTTAAAAGATAATCCCTTTTGATTTAAATTTAATTAAAATTTTTCTACATGTATATGAGATAGTTGTTGATGAATTGTTTATTGGTAATAAATAAATAATTGATTCAGTTTAAAGGTCTGAAAACATTAATACATGAAACTATGAAAAATATTAGTCATTAAAGAATTTTTACTAATAATAATAATCTCAAAACTAAATTTTTCTATAATGTTTTTACTATTGAATTTTATCAAAAGTTTATATACTCAATTGGATTTATTGGTTATGGAGGCCACTCAAGCTACTTTCAGCTTGTAAATGTTTTTACCATTGGTCCCAGAGTTTATTTTAAAAAATTTCTGGAACTATTTGATGGTTAGATTTGTTTTTATAGTTTATTTTAGAATCAAATATATTTCCTAATTAATTTAATTGAGAAATATATTTCCATAAAATTTTGTAAATCATAATAGATTAAAACTTACTCTGTTTTAATCTATTTTGAGAATATGCAGTGAAAAAGTTGGTAAATGCAAATTTATTAAGCAATTTGCNGATCTAAATATGAGGAAAAATAAAATATAAATATTTTAGAAAGTTTATTCACCCGAAAACATCTCTTAAATGATAAAAGCTATAAAAATCAATGTTTTGAATGGGCAGTACTGATTCCATAGCTTCATGGATTGATTCTAAATTGAAATCTGCTTCTATCAGAATTTTACTTGACATTATTAATAATTAACTTTTAGTAGTATCTAATTACAAGCATTTATTAATTTCACTGTTGTGTATCATAATTACAAGATTTTTCTTTTCTCTATTTATAATTTTCTCAGAAAAATTGTGGTGTTCAATATTTCAAAAAATTAAGTTGAGTGATATTTGTTCAAATTATCAAATGAATATAAACTACAAAGTCAATATTCCTAGTTACCTAAATAATATGTTTTATTTCTACTTTAAATATAACTATTGATTTGCGTAAACACTATTACTTTAACTAAAATTTTATTTACTTGAGAGAAGCGAAACTTTATCTCAAAAAGCTCAATATCTCATTAAATGACTAAAAAATTAATTTTTGAAATACTTAGAAATTTTTTTTGTGAACAAAGTTTTTAAGATAACTATAAAGCCAATCAGTTTATAGGTATTTGTGCACTTAAATTATAGAATTACATCATCTTTATATTGAAAGTTTGTGCTTAAATTATTTTGAAATAACAAGTTTTAATAAAATTGAAACTAAATATTCAGATGGATCACACCACATACTATAAGATAAAAGATTAGTGTCATTATATTACTTTTAATCAACTAAAGGTTAAAATTTTTATCCACTTTTTTAGGTTCAAATTTTATTGTTTATTTTTAATTGTAAGGTAAGATTTTAAACATTTATCAAGAAAGATAGATGTTTAAAATCAGTTAAATTTTTTTTTCGAGGGGGCAAATATATAGCTGCATGTTTTAGAATGTTACATTTATTTTAGTACTGTAGATTGAAGTAAAAGAATATTTAATTTAAATTTAATTAATTTTATAATACTCTAACTACTCAGTTCTTTTTTTTTTTTTTTAAGACTTTTTGAGTTAGACATTTTTTAAGTTTGATAAATTCATTTCTAAAGCTGACCTCTGGAGGCCAGCAGCAGAATTATTGTGGACAAAACTAAAGTGATACTTCTGGTATGGTATGGAAAATATAGTTTGTCATATTTTTACTTAATTTTTTTTTTCTTTAATTATTTGGCTTATTGGTAATTTTATAACTTTTTTTTGAACTGAGTAGATCAATTCTAATCAATAGAATCGATTCCTTTAATTCTATTGAAGGAACTATTCTAATTTCATCAGTGATCCAAGAAATCTAAGACACTTCTTATTGTGAAAGCTACATTAAAGAACCTTGAGCAAGTGATGTTTATAAATATATAGTAGATTAAAATTCATATTAATATCTTCATATATATATAAAGAGAGAGAGAGAAAATTCTTCCACTGAAATCCTGACAGAGATCTTTATTATTATTTATATTCTAGGCATATTATTTAAATAGAATGTGATATCAATCAATACTGTGTTTAAAATATAAGTTCCTACATATATCAAGTTTACTACAGTAGAGCATCGATTATCCGACCCCCAATTAACCATCACATCAGTTAACCGACTGTTCTAGTTGGCAAATTTCAAATGTCCGCTAGTGATGTGGCGCTACAATATTTGGCTATGTCTTGGCTACTTTAATATTATTGTTGTTAAATTTTTGTGTTTTAGCTGGCAACACTGGCTCGACCATGAAAGAGAGGCCAGTATTGTATTTAAACGAGACTTAATTTTCTAATTATGAGTGGTTGTTTGTTTTGTGAGCAATAAAATAATTTAAAAATAATTTTTAACGACACAATAGCGACGATTATTATTTAAAAAAATTTGTTAGGCTTGATAGGTGAAAATTCAACGTGAAGTTGGATAATTAATTAATTAATTAATAGCGATATACTAATTACATGGGATATACTAATATACTATACTAATAATGTAGTTTTTTTTTCATTCTTTTCGGTAATCTGATTTTTTCAGTTATCTGATCAACCTGAGTCCCCAATTGAGTCGGATAATCGATACTCTACTGTATATGGAAATGTTTTTTTTTTATATATAATGATTTTTATTTGATATTTAAGAAATTAAAACTGTATTATTTTATTAAATATATATTTAATTTAAATTTAAATCTGATTTTAATTTTAAAATGTATACATTTTTAAATTTCAGGGTGAAGAAAGATTGAAACCACAAATTATTCATTCCTTAGCTAATGCTGAACTTTATTGTTTAGCACTTGCTAATATTTATGCTGATCCCAACTATCATAATCTCAACCACATCGGTATAATTCAGTTATTAATGAGAAAGGGTGTAGATGTTCTTGAACCACCAGATGCATCTCTCACTGAAACTGTTCTTGTACAGACTGCACCTATTAAAATGGTATAAAAACTATAAATATATTTATAATTAAATTATTTAAAATATAACTCCTTATTACTGTAATTATAAAATTTGTGGTAGTATATACACAGTGGTATCTTGTACTTTGAATGCTTCAAAGTTCAAACTGTACATGTAGTGAAAAAATGCACTTGAAGCGTAAATGCAGTCTGTTTTGTGCCCATTTCATCTCTCACTCTTGCATTATGCTTGCATATTTTCAGTGCTTTTTTTGCTTTATTTTTGGTTTGTTTGGTTATATATACTGTATTGTGTGTTGTTCATCTATTCTTCTTGCAATTTTTCTTTATTGACAGCTTTTGGTTGCCCTGTACATTTTGTATTAATTAGTTCAAAACCTCTCAAACAGAACTTTTTAAGCACATTTGACATTTTCAAAGTTTAGGAGCTTCTTTCCCATACACATTATAATTTTATTTATTTATTTATTTATTTTTTACTGTTTGTATGGCATTATATCCTTTCTGAAACTCATAAAGCATATATCTCTGATTTGCTTTTTATCTGAAGACATTACTTGATTTTATTCAAACAAAATGTGAAGTAAAGAGTTTAAAGTAAGCTTACAAACAAAGAATATACTCTTACATTATCTATAATATGTTATATTTCAAAATTGTTATAATTAAATCACACATTTGTGTTAAGATGCAGAAGTCTTATTATGTGACAAATAAATACAATATTGCAATTTTCATTTTATTATACAGTATTTACATATTTTATTTATGGTTTTTGTGTTTTAATTTATTATTAGGGCATTTAATTGTTAGTATTTGATTGTTTGCTGTTCTCTCAATTAGTTCTATGTTCTTTGGAACTTAGCATAAAGTTGAGAACAAATCATAGAGAACACTCCTTTTGATAGGAAAAGTAGATTTATTTTCTATAATTTATAATGGATATGCATTTTGGGTTCTATGCTCCTCCACAATTTTTATTTTATTATGTATATTGGTAAAATTATATAAGAAATTACAGAATGTATTTAATAATTATTTATATTTAGCATATGCATAACTCACAAAATTAACAAAAAATTATCTAAAAATAATTATAGTGACAACTGGAATAACTAATTATGAAAATCGTTTGATAGAACAAGTAAAACTGAAATAAATTTTAAAAATATGTAAATAAATAAATGTAATAAAATGTTAAAAAGTAATAAAAGGGTAACCTGTAAAAATAAAAATATTTTGATTAAAATGTGTAAGAAATTGACTAATAAAGGTAGTAAAAACATAAAACCCCTAAAATCAATAAAAAGTGGTTAGAAACAAGGTGTAAAGGCTTTCACTGTATGTTTATCAGGGAATCTGTTACTTTATACGATACAACAGATTAAAAGAGGGAGGGGAAGGCCATCTTAAAATGGACTCTTCTTATTTTGGTAGTAATGGTTGCCAGATCTCACTGATGACAATGCCAGTGTTTAAATTTATTCTATTAATTTTGTTTAATAATTTCAATGTGTTCAAAAAATTTTCTTTTAGTAATATTTTTTTCTGTTTTAAGAATTTTGATGCTGTCGAGTGAGATCTCATAATATTTCATTACATTTATTTATTTACATATTTTAAAAATTTATTTCAGTTTTACTTGTTCTGTCAAACAGTTTTAATAATTAGTTATTCAGTTGTCACTATAATTATTTTTAGATAATTATTATTTTTTTTTATAGCTGAAAATATTTGTATTATAATAAAATATCTGCTGAATCAAATGTGGTTAATATAATTCAATTAATAGTAGTAAAATATCTAGATCATTCATCCATTCAAAATATTTGTTAAGTTTTTTATCTATTAAATTAATAAGATTATTGTTAATGAGATGATAATAAAATATATAATCATACTAAGAATAAATGATATTTTCTCTATCTTGTTTAATTTTTAGTAAATAAATAAGTATAATAATAATAATAACATGAATTTTATATTAATATAATCATTTTTAATGTTTAAAATTTTAGAGTGCACATATGGCAGTTATTGAAAGTATAATGGCATTGTATATAAAAGAAGTTTTAATACCCGAGAAAGTAATGGAAGTAATTAGGTAAATATTTATTTTATTCAGTTAATAATATGTATAATAAAACCAAACATTCAAACAACAAATTGGAAGATTTGTCATTAATGTAAAATTTTAAGAAGACTAACACCTTAAATATAATTATAGCATGATTACAACTGAAAAAATGTAATTTTTGCTCTGTAATTAAAATCAGAATTATTGTCCTAAGCATATTTTTACTTTTCAAATGCTATGTGAAAAAGTCTAAGAATTCTGAATATGCATGTTTATTTCAATTATGCTTAACTATGCACTTTCTATATTTATAAAGATGGATAAAAAATATTTTTAGCATGCATTTTTAAATTTTAATAACTTATTATTTGTATAAATTAACATCAAATATTTTAAAAAATGAAATGACCAAAAAATAATTAGGAAATTTCATTATTAAAGATTTAATTTAACTAGCAGATTTAATTGCTTAAAAGATAATCCCTTTTGATTTAAATTTAATTAAAATTTTTCTACATGTATATGAGATAGTTGTTGATGAATTGTTTATTGGTAATAAATAAATAATTGATTCAGTTTAAAGGTCTGAAAACATTAATACATGAAACTATGAAAAATATTAGTCATTAAAGAATTTTTACTAATAATAATAATCTCAAAACTAAATTTTTCTATAATGTTTTTACTATTGAATTTTATCAAAAGTTTATATACTCAATTGGATTTATTGGTTATGGAGGCCACTCAAGCTACTTTCAGCTTGTAAATGTTTTTACCATTGGTCCCAGAGTTTATTTTAAAAAATTTCTGGAACTATTTGATGGTTAGATTTGTTTTTATAGTTTATTTTAGAATCAAATATATTTCCTAATTAATTTAATTGAGAAATATATTTCCATAAAATTTTGTAAATCANTAATAGAGAGGTTGAGGCGCACGTTTTAAACGTGTAAACGTGTACGTGTGACGTTCGGCGCCGCTTTCCTGTAAGCCTAGAAGTTTGACGATGGTGTTTGGAATGTCGAGCGTGATTCCACCGACTATCCAAACACCATCGTCAAACTTTTAGGCTTACGGGAAAGCGGCGCCGAACGTCACACGTACACGTTTATACGTTTAAAACGTGCGCCTCAACCTCTCTATTATATTTAAGTTACATATGTATACAAATGTGTATGTAAATGCAAATTGTTATTAATGGAAGCTTTTGAAATGAATAAATTATAAAATATATTTTTGTGTATTAATTTTGTACATTTAATGTTGGCTCAATATAACATACTTCAATAGAAACACATAGACATCTATATACAGTGCTAACAGCTGTGGATTCCAATTTATTGTTTAACTCTTCAGATCTGCTGTTTTATTTCATCTTATTTGTAGTCATCTGAGTTAAAGTCGCAGTTAATAGTACAGTTCAAAATTGATTGGTTCAATTTGCAATATTTTGTTGGCAATGCCTGTTCTTTGTACTTGCTACTGAATAAACACAGCTTAACATTTGAGTGTTGATATGGAAAAAGCCAGAACAAAATGGACAAGAAGGATTGTCTAAAGGCCAGTTCATAGTCTATTCCTGTTAAATATAGCAATTCTGCTGAGATGCACTGGATGTCATTGAACAATGTTTCATTACAGTTAAACAGTTTGTAGTGTATACGACAGTTATTGAATGTTAGTCTGATTTATTCTTGCTTACATGTGATGAAAACAAAACAACACAGTCTCATCTACAACAGTCAATTTTCTGGATCCAAATGACTGCATTATCATACTAAGAATAAATGATATTTTCTCTATCTTGTTTAATTTTTAGTAAATAAATAAGTATAATAATAATAATAACATGAATTTTATATTAATATAATCATTTTTAATGTTTAAAATTTTAGAGTGCACATATGGCAGTTATTGAAAGTATAATGGCATTGTATATAAAAGAAGTTTTAATACCCGAGAAAGTAATGGAAGTAATTAGGTAAATATTTATTTTATTCAGTTAATAATATGTATAATAAAACCAAACATTCAAACAACAAATTGGAAGATTTGTCATTAATGTAAAATTTTAAGAAGACTAACACCTTAAATATAATTATAGCATGATTACAACTGAAAAAATGTAATTTTTGCTCTGTAATTAAAATCAGAATTATTGTCCTAAGCATATTTTTACTTTTCAAATGCTATGTGAAAAAGTCTAAGAATTCTGAATATGCATGTTTATTTCAATTATGCTTAACTATGCACTTTCTATATTTATAAAGATGGATAAAAAATATTTTTAGCATGCATTTTTAAATTTTAATAACTTATTATTTGTATAAATTAACATCAAATATTTTAAAAAATGAAATGACCAAAAAATAATTAGGAAATTTCATTATTAAAGATTTAATTTAACTAGCAGATTTAATTGCTTAAAAGATAATCCCTTTTGATTTAAATTTAATTAAAATTTTTCTACATGTATATGAGATAGTTGTTGATGAATTGTTTATTGGTAATAAATAAATAATTGATTCAGTTTAAAGGTCTGAAAACATTAATACATGAAACTATGAAAAATATTAGTCATTAAAGAATTTTTACTAATAATAATAATCTCAAAACTAAATTTTTCTATAATGTTTTTACTATTGAATTTTATCAAAAGTTTATATACTCAATTGGATTTATTGGTTATGGAGGCCACTCAAGCTACTTTCAGCTTGTAAATGTTTTTACCATTGGTCCCAGAGTTTATTTTAAAAAATTTCTGGAACTATTTGATGGTTAGATTTGTTTTTATAGTTTATTTTAGAATCAAATATATTTCCTAATTAATTTAATTGAGAAATATATTTCCATAAAATTTTGTAAATCATAATAGATTAAAACTTACTCTGTTTTAATCTATTTTGAGAATATGCAGTGAAAAAGTTGGTAAATGCAAATTTATTAAGCAATTTGCAATTAATTCATTGTATAGTATTATCTATAAGAGTAATTATAAAGTGAATAAATAATTTAAGTATAGTGAAGTAAAAGAATTTTAGTGTGTTTGATAGCTGGAATAGTAATATAATTATATATAAGAAAATTTTTTTAGAAAAATAACTTATTTTTCTGTATGATTTCAGAGTTTTATATCAAATAAATTTTAAAGATACATACAAAATACAGTAGAGAATCAATTCAATGATCTGCAGTTTAATGTATTTTTTTCACCAGTTTCTTCAAATGTTCATAAACTACACCATTGATGTTACTGTGTATAGTGTCAATTTTGCATATTTTTGTAATTTAACACATTGAAAGCTCAATCTCTAGATGAATTTTCTCCTCAAAATTTTTTAAAAAAATATAATGTACTATATTTTATGTTTGGATGGTCAAAAAGTTATAAAGTTCAATGAATTATCAAGATTGTTTCTCCACCTTGTAGATGCCACATTCTGGATTTTGGCATTTTGACAGCCATTGCTAAACTCAGAGATTTATGTAACAAGCAGAGTAAAGCAATAAAAATATTAGTTTTTATCAAAGCCAGTGGTAATGAAAACATTATACAAAATCAAAATGATTATATTAGGATTGCATGCCATATGATCTCCTTCAACAGCACTCCCATGAGCCACCATATTAGACATTTCAAAAAAATGCTTAGTTTCATTAGACAGATGCTAAATTATATGCACATTTCAACATTTGCAGAAACTAGATTAGTCTTACAAGAAGAGACCAGAAAAAGTAGACAGATTTTGAAACAAATGTCTATTATAGGATGTTAAATTAAGGTATTTCTAGATAAATTTTATTTCATCTATAAATACCTTATTTTACTTAATATTTATTTTTAAAAATATTTATTTGTTTTAGAAGTATTTATATATTTAGAACTATATAAATATTTGATATATTTATCAGAATGTTGGAATTTTGAACTTCTAGTAATTTTATAATTTCTCCTACAAACTTTATTTTATGATAGATTAATTTTAGTTTTTTAATTTTTTTAATAGTAGGTTTTCGGTTATAAGGTTACCTATTGATAAACCTATTGATGCAAAACATGCAGCCTTACTTTGGATTAATAAATCCTGTGTAAAGATGAGACATAGAATTGAAGAAGAATTAGGTTCTTATCGGAGTCCTGGTGAAACAGAAGTTAATCTGGTATGGTTTTATTTTCATTTAAATTTTAATATTCTCTGGGGATTATCATACTTTTTGTAGTCTTTCACTGCACATAGCCTATTAGTTTTGTAATTTTCAACTCAATGCAAGTAACATGAAGGAGATATAGAAACCAAAAAAATGTCAGGAATTAATCGTATTCTGACATGGGTTGTGTTGAGAAACGTAATACTTTTACTTAGACTTTATAGAGGGTAAATTATATTTGGTAGGAAGATTACAGGCTATGCTGTACAGCCATCTGTCGTAAGCCTACACTACATAACCACACATTCCTTCAGACTGACCGACATGTAGTGCCCTGTATCCCGATTGCCCAAGACTTGAATGACCTAAGTGATGGATGCTGTCTAGCTGCTCTACTGTGTTTTTATTGCCCTGGATATCTTAATTGGCAAGGTAAATTATTTTTTGTTGATATTTTATATTTTATTTAATTAGTCTGATTATTGTATATAAAAACTTTATTTTAAGATTATAATAATTCTAATTGACACAATGTAATAAAGTCAAATAATAGTATAAAGTGTACATAATTTGTGATGATTAATATAAAAATTAATAGAGAGGTTGAGGCGCACGTTTTAAACGTGTGTACGTGTACGTGTGACGTTCGGCGCCGCTTTCCTGTAAGCCTAGAAGTTTGACGATGGTGTTTGGAATGTCGAGCGTGATTCCACCGACTATCCAAACACCATCGTCAAACTTTTAGGCTTACGGGAAAGCGGCGCCGAACGTCACACGTACACGTTTATACGTTTAAAACGTGCGCCTCAACCTCTCTATTATATTTAAGTTACATATGTATACAAATGTGTATGTAAATGCAAATTGTTATTAATGGAAGCTTTTGAAATGAATAAATTATAAAATATATTTTTGTGTATTAATTTTGTACATTTAATGTTGGCTCAATATAACATACTTCAATAGAAACACATAGACATCTATATACAGTGCTAACAGCTGTGGATTCCAATTTATTGTTTAACTCTTCAGATCTGCTGTTTTATTTCATCTTATTTGTAGTCATCTGAGTTAAAGTCGCAGTTAATAGTACAGTTCAAAATTGATTGGTTCAATTTGCAATATTTTGTTGGCAATGCCTGTTCTTTGTACTTGCTACTGAATAAACACAGCTTAACATTTGAGTGTTGATATGGAAAAAGCCAGAACAAAATGGACAAGAAGGATTGTCTAAAGGCCAGTTCATAGTCTATTCCTGTTAAATATAGCAATTCTGCTGAGATGCACTGGATGTCATTGAACAATGTTTCATTACAGTTAAACAGTTTGTAGTGTATACGACAGTTATTGAATGTTAGTCTGATTTATTCTTGCTTACATGTGATGAAAACAAAACAACACAGTCTCATCTACAACAGTCAATTTTCTGGATCCAAATGACTGCATTATGTTAAGTCATCAGTTTAGTATAATTTGAATTATACAAATAATTTTTTTTATTAGTTAGAATAATTNTTTTTCGAGGGGGCAAATATATAGCTGCATGTTTTAGAATGTTACATTTATTTTAGTACTGTAGATTGAAGTAAAAGAATATTTAATTTAAATTTGCTGTACTTGTCTATATAAAAGCAATGTAAAGTTTTATAAATATAAATATAGTCAGATTCCTTTATTGTGTTATCAATTTATGTGAAGTCTGCATTAATGCAAAGTACATTTGTGGTCTTGTGGATGAGGCTAGACATTTCAATGTTAATAAGTTTAGTTATTACAAAATATCAGTTAATATACAATATGAAGCATGTCACAGTCTTGCAAATTCAGTAACAATTATCTTTCATGGTTTAATACAAAGCATACTGCTTCCATCTTCCCTGAAGTCACATGAGCGAAAGTGGCAATGCATAACTTGCATCATGATCAAAGGCATTTTTTTTTTACTTTAATTTTGGCCACAGTGCCTATGACATCATTATTATCACTGTTGTTGGTGGTGAGGTATACACCATACCAATGACATTTACTCCTTGAAAAATTACATTATCTCTTATTGTTGGCACTGAACAATTATTTAAGACAGTCCTTGTGCACATTGGAAACCTGAACTTAATAAAATTGGGGAATTTTGATTAAAAATATGTCATTTTACAAAATAGTTCTTATTTTTAATTGTTTTAAAAACAGAATAACTGAATTATAATATTGAATACAGGCAATAGTTTGCAATTTTAAAATTAAAAACAGTTTCTATTGAAATCCAAGCAGATAAGTTATTTTTAAATTATTAGTTTTTCATATCAGCTCCCAAATTCAATTTTGTGGCTAGATCAACCTGTTAGTAGCTTTAACTGTCATTCTACCAACTCTAACTATTGTATCTCAATAAAGTGTATGTTTGGAGTAGATGACAAGTTTGTTTATTTATTTATTTTTAAACATATCTAAACATGATAAAACAGTAAAATAATTGAAAGAAAATTTGACTTTTGCCATTTGATGGTATGACCATTGATGTTTTTTGTAAAGTTTACTTAATACAAAGTGCAGATTTTTTAGGTCCTTTCAACTTTGTATTAATGGGGTTTAACTTTATATATTTGTGAATTTAAAAATATACTGTATATATTATAATAAAAATAAAAAAATCATTTCAGAATTTTTATGAAACTGAATTCATGTACTATACATAGTTACAATATAAGTTGTCATAAAACAGCAACCTTGTAAACCAGCAAAAAATTTTACTCAACTATTACTTGTGATTCAAATACAGATTATTGTCAGGTCTAATCTTTAACACAAATAGATAATAAATTTAATTGTCTTTGGAACCACTACCTGATGATCTATATTTTGATTGAAAATTTAATCAAGTAATTTTTTTATTAGTTTGGATTTTTATTATGTCTCTATTCTCTATTAATCAATTTAACATGTTACAATATAAGTTTATATTAGTTTTTTAGACTCAATATTTAAAATTTATATTAAAAGTTCATATTAAATTTTTAGACTCAATATAAAAACATTAGTAAAAAATATTACAATAAAAAAATTATGAAACTAGCTAACTTTGTTTTGGTAATTGTAATAGATATAAATAATGAAAATTTAACTATTTTTCTTTTAATAATTCTGTATTAGAGTGAATTACAGTAAGTTAATTAGTGATAAAATTTCTAAAAAAATTCTTAAGTTATCCTATCTCATTCAGAAATTAAATATAGATGCTTCTTTTATATTCTTTCAAATCTTTTTTTTTCTATTGTAAGTTTAATATATTTTTGATTATATTCTGTTGTTTACTTATTGTAATATGTAAAGGAAAACTACAGTATATAGATTATTATATTACTGCTAGCCTAAACAACTGGCATCATCTGAGAACTGTAATGAAAGATGCTGTAATTGTGTAAAATTTCATTATGGCTACAGTGCTACAGATATATAATATACAATGCATGTAAGTTTTCGGTCTAATTCATAGACCTTCTTCAGGATTGATGTAAAAAATTTTAAAAATTTGAACTTTCCCAACGGTAATTCGAACAACGCACGTTCTATAATCTTCAGATATTCGATCGCGCATGTCCATTAGCTCTTTATAATGCCACCGCTCTCCATGCCGATGCTATTCTACTTGACTCTCGAAAATTTATATTTAGCCCCTTTTTTCTGTATTTATAAATCTTGCAGATTACAATCGAATGGAGCAAGGCGGATATTATACAAAAGATTGCTAATATACGACATCTAAAGTATGCAGAGGCATGGCACATTTATAAATACAGAAAAAAGGGGCTAAATATAAATTTTCGAGAGTCAAGTAGAATAGCATCGGCATGGAGAGCGGCGGCATTATAAAGAGCTAATGGACATGCGCGATCGAATATCTGAAGATTATAGAACGTGCGTTGTTCGAATTACCGTTGGGAAAGTTCAAATTTTTAAAATTTTTTACATCAATCCTGAAGAAGGTCTATGAATTAGACCGAAAACGTTAGAGAACTAGCCAAAAGTAGACTGCATTTTAAAGGTATAGTGGAATGTAGTAATTAATAATGCAGTTAGAGATTTAATAAATGCATGTAAGTATATTCAGTGATAAGGGGCTGTCTATAAATGATGTCCATATTTGAAGGGTGGGAGGGTTATGGCAAATCAGACAGGGGACAGGTTGAGCATCATTAGACATCCATTTATTTTATTAAATTTTATACAGTTTGTACATTTTATTATATTTATTTCAGAATTTCTTGTATATTTCATTTTTACTTATGGTATCTATCATTCATAAAGTGATGAAGGTTTTAACAGGGTTGAGTTTTGTTGGATGTCCTAAGAGGGGAGGGGATTATGAAAACTGGACAAACTGGGACAAGTGGAGGAGTAAAAATTTCAAGAAAAAGTGGACATTAATATGGACAGCTTCTAACATAGGAAATCTCATTGAATAGTTACAGCCTACATGAAGGGTTGTCCATAAAAGTTTAAAGTATACATATATATACAATATAACCAAACTAAATTATTGATTAAACAGCTTAAACTTTCAGATTATTTTTGTGGCTAAATATCTAGACTCTTGAACAGGATTGAAATTCAAATCTCATTCTGGTTTGATTTGTTTTTCTTCCAGAATTATCTATATTAATTAAATTCAAAATTAATTTTTAATTATTAATTCATTATTTAATTTAAATTTAATTAATTTTATAATACTCTAACTACTCAGTTCTTTTTTTTTTTTTTTAAGACTTTTTGAGTTAGACATTTTTTAAGTTTGATAAATTCATTTCTAAAGCTGACCTCTGGAGGCCAGCAGCAGAATTATTGTGGACAAAACTAAAGTGATACTTCTGGTATGGTATGGAAAATATAGTTTGTCATATTTTTACTTAATTTTTTTTTTCTTTAATTATTTGGCTTATTGGTAATTTTATAACTTTTTTTTGAACTGAGTAGATCAATTCTAATCAATAGAATCGATTCCTTTAATTCTATTGAAGGAACTATTCTAATTTCATCAGTGATCCAAGAAATCTAAGACACTTCTTATTGTGAAAGCTACATTAAAGAACCTTGAGCAAGTGATGTTTATAAATATATAGTAGATTAAAATTCATATTAATATCTTCATATATATATAAAGAGAGAGAGAGAAAATTCTTCCACTGAAATCCTGACAGAGATCTTTATTATTATTTATATTCTAGGCATATTATTTAAATAGAATGTGATATCAATCAATACTGTGTTTAAAATATAAGTTCCTACATATATCAAGTTTACTACAGTAGAGCATCGATTATCCGACCCCCAATTAACCATCACATCAGTTAACCGACTGTTCTAGTTGGCAAATTTCAAATGTCCGCTAGTGATGTGGCGCTACAATATTTGGCTATGTCTTGGCTACTTTAATATTA